GACCTCTGCGATATCTTCCTGCCTCGTTACCACCGCTTCTCCACCTTTGCTGCACCTCCTTCCCCTCCCTGACCTGCCCCACTTCTTTGAAGAAATTTCCTTCTGCGGGCGAAGCTGCAACAGGTCATCTACGAGGAGGATTGAGTCGACAGTTATTCTACTATGCAAGGGAAAGCCTGGGAGGAATATGTGAAAGCAGCAGGAAATGGTAGGACAGGTCATTGTCCTCTCTGTGTGTTTGTTTTCTGATTTTACTATTATTATTATTATTATTATTATTATTATTATTATTATTATTTTTAAAGCAGGTGGAGCAATGTGCTATTGATTATCACTGGTAATGTGTTGTTACATTACATGATAAGCTCTCAGGTCAGGTGGATTAGTGCAGCTAGGGTCGGTACCGCACTAGTGGTCATGTCAGTGGGTGACCGTGGCTGAGCGAGTGTGTGGAGTGGGTTTTATGGCTGTGACAGACCAGTTTGTCAGAGTTACTTCCCTTCTTGTCAACGGTGTGGACCGACAGCCTGCTCGGATTGCAGGGTTGGTGCGAGTATAGGTTGACCACTTTTCCACAAGTGGTTAATGGGGACCACCACTTTAAGCTCTTGACTAACGGGGGACCGTCACTTTTCACTCGCAAGGGTATTGCTAACCCTGACAGTATGCCGGACGTGGTGAGTTCTTATCTATCAGTCAAATGCTTTCTGGGCCAAATGCTTTCTGGGCAGACTGTCAGGGTTCAGCTTCCTGATGAAGTAGTGAAAGTTCTACGAAAGAGTCCGTGACAGTCATGCTGTTTTTAGGAGCTTGCGTGCATAGTGAACATGTCAACCGACTACGTGCCGGCACACGGAAAAAAAAGTTTGTGCTGGCACACGGAAAAAAGAAGTTGAAGGCGTTTCCCGAATTTTCTACGTACACACACGAACACACAGGCAAACGGTCTGCATGGTCATGGCTAAAGCGAACACGACAACATACTGCTGTGTCGCGTCCTGGTATGTATTGGTGTGTCTTCGTAAAGATCGTTCATCTTGCCACTGAAGTTTCCATTTATAATCATATAAATTGGATGCGCCGTGTCTTTGCTGACAGTGGAGCGGGTACACTTGATAGTCAGCTGTGAGGCAGCAATGTACATAGACAAAGGCAAGACGAGCTACAGCGAGTCATCATCTCAGAGAGAGAGAGAGAGAGAGAGAGAGAGAGAGAGAGAGAGAGAGAGAGAGAGAGAGAGAGAGAGAGAGAGAGAGAGAGAGAGAGAGAGGATGATGATGATGATGAACTCATTAAGTACACTCGAAAAAAACTCGCATGCTCTTCGAAAGTAACAATGAATACAAGCAAGTGGTCCGGCGTGTCCCAAAGCCCAAAGGACAAACACTTGATACAAATGAGCGGTCTGGTACAACCGTACTGGTAGGAAGGTGCCCACAGAGGGCTGGGTGATTCTATTCGGCCTGGGTTGCGGGAACCCCCTTTTCTGACCAAAGGAAAAGCAGAACCCCCACCGCACGGAAAGCTGCCACGTACTTGAAACACAGACACCCATGACTTTCACAAAGGACAAGAATAAGATTACACCACCGCACCACGAGGCCATACTACATGGGCTGGTTTGTATTATGTAGGGCCTGTGTGATAGGGGTCATATATAGGGACTGGACGGTACTACGCGGCCTGGGGGATACAATGTGGGATAGGTGGGTGATGCTGCTCGGCCTGGGTGGTACTGTGTGGGGTATGTTGGGGATGCAATGCGGACCGAGCATGCTGGAAGCCCTTTTTGCTGTGTACTCGTGAAAAGGGGGCGTAGCCCATAACACTGTTGTACAATTTCTCGATTTATGCGTGTCATCGTCGCGCAGGGGCCGTGCTAATCTTCTCTGTATTGTTCCAATTTTAACGGATGTTCGCAAAGACTCCAACATGATGTATCTGTATGATTCCATCGGAATTCGAACTCGTCACTTGCTTACTAACAGCTATATGATGGGCCAAATGTGTACGTGTATTTGAACGACCCCTGTCCCTCTTCAAACACAGCTGCTTCGAGAATAGCCACAAACGGGAAAACACGTGCGAATACAGCTTGTTGGGAATAGCTACAGACGATGGAAAAACTCAAGTGCGCAAAAGGACAACCCTATGCTCACACCAGGAAACCTGACGTGCCCTAAGAACAAGATGGTGCGGCCACAAAACTGGAAAAGACAAAAATCAAAAAAAGAAAAAGAAAAGGAAGATCTCGGTGCCCTTTCCGGCCTTGAAATGCAAAACTACAAGAAGAAAAAGAGGTTCCCCGTAGTAACGATAAACGACAAAAGAAAGGATGAGCTTGCGTGCCGATTCCCACTTGGGAAACATAAAATGAACAGAGAAGATTCGCATGGCCCCTTCTGTTTATCTGTCTGTCTGTCTGTTTTGCCGATTTCCTCGTTCGTGTGCTGTGCGACGTGGAGCTGTGCTGAGAACTGTGGCTGTTGATAAATAGATCATCGGTTCAAATCCTGATGAATAATTCTTTTAAGCCCAACCAACCACAGGACGGCCTTTCAGGCCTTTTTTTTATTGTCATGATAGTAGTACGGGGAACCCCGTAGCAGCCACAATAAAACAAAAGTAAGGGGCTGAACCCCACTAAGAAAAAAAGAAAGGCAAAAAAACTAGCACTGCATCTATGGTTCTGAGTGTAGCCCTTTTTTTGCTCTCTGTCTCTGTCTCTGTCTGTTTCGCCCGCTGTCGCCTTCGTATGCTGTGTGTCGTGCAGCTGCGCTGAAAACTTTGACGCTGATGAACAGATCACCGGTTCAAATCCTGATGGATACAACAAAAGCTAGGGGGGCTGAACCCCACTAAGGAAATAAAAAAAGAAAAAGGACCGTCGTCACCCGAATAGAACGCCCGGTCATTATAGCTGTATCTGGACATGAAATCGTACCAGATGTGGCCATAATGACCGGGCGTTCTATTCGGGTGAAGACGGCAGCCCTGCATCTTATGGATGGCTCTGAGTGGTAGCCCTTTGCTCTCTATCTGTCTGTTTGTCTGTCTGTTTTGCGGACTGACTTCGTCTTGTGCTGTGTGTGGTGCAGCTGTGCTGAAGACTGGGGAGAATGGCTGCGCCGATGCGTATGGTGGCATGGGTTGCATGAGTGGCAATTATGATAGGGAGGGAATCAGTGGCAGCGAATACGAGAGCAGCAGAATATGGAGGCTGTTTAACAATTCTATACGGTACCCTATTGAAGACACACTTGTGCATCCTGGCAAAGACGATCCAGAGTTCACGAAACGGCTGCCGCCAAGTGACGACTTTATTCTCCCAATGGAATGCGTCGGGGACACATTGATGATATGGACAATGGTATCTTGCTTTGGGAGGTCACTGCATCTCTCCCCCTTTCCGTTGGAAGACCTGGAGAAGGCTCTGGAGTATAGAGAGGGCGAGGTGTCGCTTTTAGCGGAGCTGCACGCGGCACTACTACGGTTGGTTGTGGCAGACATGGAAGAGTTGAGGGACGAATTCGTGAAGAAGAGGAAGAAACGTCAAGAGGTGTGTGATTTTTTCACCTACTCTCTTCGTTTTGTTATGTTGTATCCTTCCACCTCTCTCTCTCTCTCTCTGTGTCTGTGTGTGCTTCAGCTTATACCATGTCCAGCGTACGGAGTGCTCCTTGATTTCCGGGTGCTCCGCGCGTGTCATCGTTGTGCAGGGCCCTATTCTTTGTAGCAAAAGCGTCCTGAACGGCATGAGGAAACGTATATCAGCAAATGAATTAGCTTATCATCATTTCTCTGCTCTGTGGCGACACTATGCGCGCTCTCACTCTCTCTCTCTCTCTCTCTCTCTCTCTTTTTTGTGACTTCAGACAGATTCTGCTATTGCTGGAGACAGGGGTACAGTGAGAGAAGAATTCTTGCTTTCAGTGCAGCTGTCTATTATTTGAATTGATTCCTATCTTTATGTTTGAGCTCTTCAAAGTGTACGCTGTACGCTCCTCTGTCTTTTCTGTCTTTACAAGGCTGTAGTCACGTCACGGCTGTAGTCACGTTACGGCTGTTTTTTTATGAACTTGGCCTTAATTGCGATCCGACACATCCCTTCTCCCAAACCGCCAGCCTCGTTCCTTGTTTTCGGAATCAGATTTGTCCGATCGCCGCCAGATCTCCGCAGTGAGCCTTGTTTTCTTCAGGTATTTTGCACGAGGATGGTGTGCAATGGTTGCTCACATTTCTGTTCATGTGAGTTATTATTTCATTTTTTTTCTTTTTTCCATCCAGCTCCCGCGCAAGGATGACACACATAAATCCAGAAAACAGTCCATAATTCTCCAAATTAAGATCGAAAAAAGATGGTATTTCACTTTATCTGTTCATCTTAGTTAGTTGAACTTATTCTGTCTGTGGACTGTCACCATTCTCCCCTGTCTCTTATACACATCTAGATGTGTATAAGAGACCTGTCTGTGGACTGTCACCATTCTCCCTTTGTGGCTTTGGGTGTTACACCTGCGAATGAGAGCTTCCCATCTTTTTTTTTTTTTTTTTTTTTTTTTTTTTTTTTTTTTTTTTTTACCGCCACTACCGTTCACAGTGTAGTCCCAAGTGGGAACAATAACCTATATACCGCATTCTTTGGGGGGCGGGGCCCAACAGCAGCTGCCGTTGATAAATTTCTTCGGTGGCTTTTGTTGCATTACCAGCCCCTGCGAAACTTGTGGACCGGCGCCCGTGGCCGATGTATGGGAAAGGTAGTGGTCCTTTAAGCTTCTTAAACAGGGTTAATAACTTAATATCCCCTAACAGTACTGTACTCATCGGACCCATCAGGATGATCAGTGTATTAACGAATAGATAGTTACACGTGTATACCACGGGGGGGGGGGGCGGGAGACCACATGGGTGTAACCAGTGAACCTGCTGGGCCAGGTTCTGAGATTCATGTTTCATTCATTTGTGGCGTGCTTTTTCCTTGGTGGTTCCTGATTGGTCCGTATGTGACAGGCTCTGTGTGCGACAGGCTCTGTGTGCGACAGGCTCTGTATTCCACACGCTCTGTATGCCACAGACTCTGTAAGTAGGTAGATAGGTAGGTGCTGGTGCTTGATACAGGCATGTCCAACTCAGTTGGGGGAGGCCAGGTGGGAGTATCGCCCAGGGCATCTGTAGCTGAATGGAAGTTTGCGAAGCAAGCTCGACGGTGCGTGCTTGTATTTGCTCCTCAGTGGCACCATACGCTTTTGCAGGTCGTCGTGTGACAATATCTTGGATCAGGGACGGAACTCTACGTGGTCCGTGGTGGCCGAATGGTAAACACATGTAACTGTTTGATTAACGGATCATGAGTTCAAGTCTCGCGATTACGACAAATACAATTAGGCCCGGGAAACAACCCCTCCTTTTACCGAAGAGAAAGGAAAGAGGATCTTGCGGTGATCTAGGTTAGAAATGCAGCACAAAAACATACTCTGAAGTGTTGAGGGCATACTCACACTAGGACTTTTTAGACAGTATTGTGGTCAGATGCATCCAGGCCCGGCCATATACATTCAGGAAAGTGCTACTGCAAGTACACCCTGAGCCTAAGGCCGGGCATCAGGAATAGGTCTTTAGGGTCCCAAAGGCCGTCAAAATACCCCCCTCTGTCCGGTAGAATATGGTCCAGTCCCTGTCTTAGTCAAAGACCTTTGAAATGCAATTTGTTGAACCCCCCCCGCAGAGTCGGGAAACCCCGTACAGTGTTAAGAGAATTGGGTAGAACCTCCATCCATCCCAAAGAGTAAGGGTCGTAGCTATTTACGAAGCTGAAGTTCCGCGGCCGAAAGTCGGCCCTACGGCCTTTAGGAAAACCAACACCTGGGCCCAACCCGGGTACAGAAACAGAGTCTAAGATTTCGCAGAAGACAACCACGGCCACAGAGCGCACACGATCCGAAGACTGAGTACAGTTTCAGGAAGCTCCAGGACTCACTGGGTCAAGGCATGCACTGACTGTAACAAACGCTTGGCCGTACAGATTGAGAAATCTCAGCCACCCGCTGACGCAGTCCAGGCCCTGTCAACACTATGAAATCTGTGCTGCCCAGCTCATGAATTGATTCCTTCTGCCCGGCCCTTGTTGGAGTGCTGCTGGAGCCAGTGCGCTAGCACTCTGGAGAGAATGTGAGGCTTCCCCAGTGTGTGTGTGTGTGTGTGTGTGTGAGCGAGTGAGCGAGCGAGCGAGCGAGCAAGAGAGAGAGAGAGAGAGAGAGAGAGAGAGAGAGAGAGAGAGCCATGGCAAGTAGGAGGTGCTGATGCACCATAAATGACAGTGAGAGAAGAGGGGAGATATGACGTAGAGTCCAAGGTGTCAGGGAAGGAAGAAGACAGCCATGGGTGCTGCAGTCTCAATTTGGTTGTTATCTTTGTTTTGAGCCTTGTGTGTTTATCATGTGATGTGGCCCGATTGAACAAGGATCGTGGGGTTCTGCAGTTGGACTCTTTACTATCTGCTTTCTTTGCACGTCTCCTGTTTTCTCTTTCAATTTGGACCATTTCTCGGTTTATGTGTGTCATCGTTCCGCAGGGGCCATGCTAATTCATCTTGTCTGTATCATCCCAAATTTATCGGATGTGCCGAAGGACATTTTGTGCAGATCCTTGATTGCCTGGCGTAGATTTCCTTTCGCTTGTGTGTGACGACGTGATTCCCCTCAGTGGTGACATGGATGTTCTGTTTTTTTTTTTTGTTTTTTTTTTTGTTTTGTTTTGGTAACTGATTCAGAAACAGATCGTGAGCTCAAATCCTGACGGATTACGGCAAAAAAATGCCAACAATAGCGATAGTGACTGCAAACCCTTGCGTTTTGAAATGCAAAAAAGTAGCTGCTGTTTTTTTTTTTTTTTTCTGTTTTTCTGTGGCTCCCTGATTGCCTGTTTTAAGTTGTTGTGCTTGTGCGTGTCACTGTGTTTCAGGTATCAGTGGCGACATGGGCGGATGATGTGTCGGATTGGTTGGAGATCACAAAAAACGACAAGCTGAGTGGGCATGCGGCAGCAATACGTCAAGGAGAATATAGCAGCCTTCCACCTACGGTAAAGGTGGCCATCTTGACGGAGCTTTGCAATTTGTCTATTGAGACAGCTGCGATTAGGTATATCTCACTCTTGGTTACAAATTGATACATTATCTATTTGGCTATTGGCTATCGGCTATTGGCTCGAGGACAGTATAGCGCCCTTCTACCTACGGTAAACGTGGCCATTTTGACGGGGCTTTGCAATTTGGCTATTGAGACAGCTGCAATTAGGTATAATAACGCCCTCTTGTTTACGTTTCATGTGTCACCTATTTGACTATTGGCTATTGGCTATTGGCTAATGACCAGTATAGAAGCCTTCTACTTATGCTTAAGGTCACGGTTGTGCTGGAGCTTTGCAATTTGGCTATTGAGACAGCTGCAAATAGGTATCATAACTCCCTCTTGTTTACAGTTGAATTCAATTGATACATCATCTATTTGGCTTTTGCCTATTGACTAGTATTGGTGCTATTGTTGAGGTATGGGATTTTTTTTTTTTGTTTTGGCCTGATGCCTGCATAACAAACATGAAAAAAAAACTTGGGAAAAGTTAAAAAAAGTGTTGTGTGGGGGGCGGCTGAGGGTGGTACTCACCGTCAGGCCTTTTTTCTTCCAATTGGTACATTATCTACCGTCACGATTTGTCGTTTTCGGCTTTTTGTCTATTTGTCTTTTTTTTTCTTGAGCCTTGCAGGCGAGACGTTTGTCAGAGAAAATATAAAAGAAGGATTAAAGAACATATTTCCGTCTACATTCATCATCCTGGGACTTTTTCAAGGGAAACTTTTTATTTCTTTTTTTTTTTTATTGGTTTCGGGCTGTGGTCAGTTACGGCCAGGAAAGTCGGAACGTGGAATGAGTGAAAAGGGTTTTCTTGGAAATCAGATATGATCAGGTGTGCAAGGGTTTTTAAAACTATTTTCCTTGCAAAAAAAAAGAAAAAGAAAAAGAAAAAGAAAAAAAGGACGTGTCGATGAGTGAAAGAACACAGGAAGATGTTGGAGATGGGAATAGGGGATGGGAGCTATGGAGGAGTGGAAACAGGAAAACGCTGGGCCATTAAAAGTAGAAACGACTGTCTCGTTAGTCGGACAATAACATGCTTGCAATCATGGTTGCATACCTGCCTATCATTGATCCTGACCATCGACCATTTTGCAGCTGACCAGTAGGGCCGACCGGTCGGCGGTCTGCCGACCAGTCAGAAAACAGTCATCCACTGATTTTTTTTTTCAGATCTGAGTTGGAAGCTGTACTGTGCTTGCTGAGTACAGCCCAAATCCGCTGAGAAACTTTTGGGGATAGGGGGGGGGTGTTTTTTTTTTTGGAGG